TGGTCACGACATCCTGTGATGTTCCGTGACAACTCTGCGCTGTCTTCTACTCTGAGGAAAAGCCTCTAGAAGGCACAAAAACCTCCTACACAGCTAGCAGACACTGCTACCTGACTGACAGGGCAGTGGTGATGTTCTCTAGCAGAACAGGGTGTTCTGACTGCCTCCCAACAGCGCCACGCACTGTCAACCGGAATCAGGTGCCCAGAGTGCAGAAAGAGCCTGGCGGTTATCTCAGTGAGCATAACCACCACTGGTTACACCGTGTTTTGTCCGGGACTCAACTCGTCGGACACCCCTTTCAGCGGGTCCCTACCAATGGGCCCTTTCCGAACGATGCGACGTGGATGGGCCGGATAGATCGAGTAACCACCGGGATACCGTCACCCCCCAAGGTCGAACCAACATGGTCCAGGGCGTCCCCCTTACATGTCGGTGCAGTCGTGGGTTGGGAGGCCGGAGTTCGCGCTCCCTGGCTCGCGCCGGAGGGTGCTGTCGGGCGGCAGCTGCCTCACCTTTAGTTGACTGCGCAAAGCGCAGAACGTTGTCACATCAAGTGATTTGGTAAAGATATCCGCGACTTGATGTCGCGTATCGGTGTAAACAAGGCTAAACGTCTGTTGTTCCACGAGGTCGTTGATGAAATGGTAGCGTACATCGATATGTTTGGTACGCCCATGGTGGCCAGAGTTGTTCACGATCTGGATGGTGCTCTGATTGTCCTCGTGAAGAGGAATCGATGTGGTGATGGGATGTCCCATCTCACCAATTGCCTGCTTGATGTACAGGCATTCTTGTGCAAGTGTGCACAGAAAATCATGAGTTCTGCCTCGGTAGTCGAAAGGACGATGCTCCGTAGCCTCTTAGCGATCCAAGAGATCGCAGAGTTCCGGTAAAATGTCACGAAGCCCGCGACGCAGCGTCGGGTATCAACACAGTTAGCGTAGTCACTGTCCGCATACGCATGGAGCGGAGCGGAGTGATCGTACGCACCGCCGAGGACGAGAC